TATGGTGACCAGTGTTGGCATTCAAATGGGGAGATGCTTAGGGGAAGTGGGGTGGGGAGGCAAGGGAGGGGTGAATAGCCCTGTGCAACTGCATACATTTCTCTCCCCCCCCCCTAATTTCTTTCTCTTACTCCTTCTGCATCTCTAAGTTCTTGATTTCACAGCTCGGTCACACCAAACTCAGTTTGCTAGTTTTGGCGCTGGCTGCTAGCTGTTGGCTTTTTTAAAAAATGTGTTTTTTTAAAAAAATATTTCCTTTTGTAGCTGTTTACCGAATACGGACGCCTGGCCATGGATGAGATATTCCTGAAGCCGTTCCAGGTACGCCTTGGAACAGGTGTGGCAGGAGGGAGGCGGGCGGGGCAGGGTGAGCAAAAGGTTGGGTATCTGATCCTGGGGATATCTGCTCTTTGCATCTGCGCTATCTGCAAACTCTCCCTAATCTGCTCGCGCAGGTGGCGCAGATTGTAAGCTGCCTAGAGAACGATGGTGAGGGTGGTAGGTGATCATCACGTGTAATTACGGAGGGGAGCGTCGGCTGAGCTGATGGGGGTCTTGAAATCCCAAAGGAGCAGTTCCTAAATGGTTGCAGAGGAAAGACAATTTCAGATTCCTGTTGAGCTGTAAAGGGTTTATCAGCATGATCCCAAGCTAGTACGCTCCAGATACCTTGGACTTCGTAGTTATGTGCCATAATTCATGGGATCGCCCTCGACGCAGACCTGGGCAAAATGCCGCCCTCCAGATGTTGCTGAACTGCAACTCCCAGCCATCCTAGCCCACACGGCCAATAGTGAGGAGTGTTGGGATTTGCAGTTCAGCAACATCTGGAGGGCTGCGCTTTGCCCAGGTCTGGGAATGAGTGATTTCTAAAGTGTCCTGTCCTCAACAGCCCTGCTCAGCTCTTGCAAACTCAAACCTGTGGCTTCATTTAGGGAGTCCGTCCATCTCGTATTTGATCTTCTGCTTTTCCTGCTCCCTTCTACTTTTCCCAGCATTATTGTCTTTTCTAGAGAATCCTGCCTTCTTATGATGGGCCCAAAGTAGGGCAGCCTCGGTTTCAACTTTTTTGCTTGCAGAGAGAGTTCGGGCTTGATTTGGGATCCATTTGTTCATCTTTTCAACATTTTTGCTGAACTCCAGAGAGAGTTCAGGCTTGATTTGGGATCCATTTGTTCATCTTTTTGTACCTTGCCTTACAATACCCATAATCCTTATTATAGAGGCTGGGGATTATAGTTCAGCATGTCCAGTAATACCAGTTTAGACAGCTAAATGGCGCTCCTTGCCTGGAGATCAGGAACAAGAGGCAGTGAATTTTTAAATATAGTGTTGTCTAGAGGGGCAGGGTAAAAATTGACAGTGGTTTTTTTTAATATAGTGTTTAGAAAGTCAGTAGAATTATTGAGGGTGATGATACGTTTGGTGGAATATCATGCTTGTGAGATCAAGCAGTGTGACATAGTGGATAGTATTTTTTTTAATAAACACTGCCATGAAACTTACTGGATAATTCCCCCCCCCCCAGTAGTTGTGAAGGTAACGTTGGGAGGAGGGAAATCGTGTACCCCACCCAAAGCTTGCTGTGGAGCAGCTATGGGCTATAAATGTAATACTGTAAATGAGCCCTAAATAATAGCAGGCTTTAGGTATTGATGTCTATCAGTGGTGTGATGGATGCACAGTTAGCCTATGGAACTCACTGCCACAGGGCATAGCAAAAGTCACTGGTTTAATCTGGCTTTCAAGCAAAGGATGGGCAGATTGGCCGCTATTAGGTACCTGGTACAGGATTTAATGGGATTTATATAAAGGCAGTGCAACACCGTTGCTGAGAGAAGGGGTGCCTGTGGATTAAGGCTGTAATCTCAGTGCCCCACATGTGGAGGGAGGATCGGACAGTTGGAAGCAGGTTGCTGGGCTGTAGACCCCCTCGGGTCTGAACCTGCAATATGGCTTTTTTGGTCCTCACCCAGTTGCTTTCCGTCTTCCGTGCAGACCCTGATGTTCCTGGTTCGGGACTGGAGCTTCCCTTACGAGTATCCGTATGGCCTGGATGGGGGCATGAGGTTCCTGGAGAAGCGGCTGGAGGTGAAACAGGGGTAGCAACAACAGCCCTATAGAAAAGGGGGGCCTGGCGGAAGCTCTGTGGGTCTGGGTGGGTCTGTTTGTGGCTGCTCACAGGTCGTGGTTCGGATTCTTTGGTTGGGCTCGCTCTCCGATCCGTGCTAGTCGGGATCAAATTGGGAAGAACAAGCCTGATGATGGATCTCCCCTTCTCTTTGGCCGCCAGGTCAAATCCCACCAACATGAAGAGATCCAGAACGTCCGCAAACATATACATTCCTGCTTCACCAAGGTCAACTGTTTCCTCCTGCCGCACCCAGGCCTTAAGGTGGCCACCAGCCCAAATTTTGACGGCCGTCTCAGCGGTAAGAGCCCTCTCTCTGCCTTTCTGGGGATGGAGATTTTGAATGCAGAAAGTTTTCTGTTTCAGTTCCTGGCGCCAACTCCAGCTAGGCTTCTCAAAATCACTGCTTTTTTCCCCAGAACAATGTGGACTGGAATTTTCTTTTCTTTTTAGAGGAGACACAGTGAGCTGAGTGTTGGAAGCTCTATTCTACATGTAAACATCTTGAACTAGGAGGATGGGAGGAAGCCTTCCTGCAAATCCCAAAGAATAAATTGTGCTCAGTGTAGCAGCAGCTTCCCATGTCCCTTGTTTAAAACGGGCCCTTATTCAGGTCAATGAGGACTAGAATCTTGCTTTTTCTTTAGAGGTAGATTCTCAGCTCTGTCCTAAAGCATGTGGTTTCCCCGCAAAAGGTCCCAGCTTTAAATGCTCCCAGCTAAGATCGATTGTGATAGTTGACTGACAACTATCGAGAAAGTCTAGTTTTGGTTGAGCTGATCTGGTTCGAAAGAGCTAAATCTGTTCCCATGTAATGATCTTGTCTGCCCTGTGCGTTGTTGTCCTTTAGTAGCTCTTTCTAGGGATGCAGTGTTCTATTTTAGCTCTAGTTTCTTTACCATGGGCATTTCATTCATTGTTGTATTGGTTTATGGTAGGGGTGAGAAATAGGTGATTAATGAATTCCAGCGCCCAGCAGTGGTGAGCGTTGATGATCATTTGGGGCAGAAAAATACCTGGAGGCCAAACGTTTTCTATCACTTCTGGGCACCCTTCCACAAAATAATCCTCCATAAATTAAAGCCTCACCCCAGCCTGGTTTGGAATAAACGTTTTACATCCAGACCATAACACTGAAAGTCTGCCGTAAGAATAAAACTCTGCAATAACATTGGAAATACAAACGGGAATCAGCACATGTTCGAACAAGGGCCTGTCCTGTCCTGCATTCTCCTTCCCACAAAGGGCTACGTTGGATCTGTCCAGATCTCCAAACTAAATCCACTCCCTCAACAACTGCGCTGTGATTTACTGCAATTTGGCGTAGCACTTTATCATTCTTATTTTCATTTTTGCTATCACCTGGATGGGTTTTGTTGTTGTTGTAAAAGCCAGGGTACGCCTAATTAGTGGCTGCCATTTGAACGGGCAAGGAGCAGTGCAGATGACTTGCAAGGCCTCCGTGAGACTTTTGAAATATTTAATTCCCTCTCCAACTTGGCTTTGAACCAAGCTTTGCCTGGGCGCCTTCGGGCTTTGTTTCGCCATCTTTACGAGATACAAATTGAGTGTCTTCTTTTTTCTTTTTTAAGAAAGGAAGTTTGATTTGTGTTGAGAGTTGATCTTTGTATCTATGGTTGTTGTTGATAATTAATTACCCTGAGACCCACTGTTTGCATACGGTACTGTACCTAGTCTATTTTTGCTGCAGAGCTATCAGTCTGATCTTAAAACGTCATTTTGTTAGCTCTCACCTGCCAAGACTAGTTTCCTTCTATTGTCTCTTGGCCCTCCTTTCCCTCTCCCTGCACAGACATTGCGGATGAATTCAAAGAGCAGCTGAAGCGGCTGATCCCGTTTGTGCTGGATCCCGGCCAGCTCTTGGAGAAGGAGATCAATGGTTCCAAAGTGACCTGCCGGGGCTTGCTGGAGTACTTCAAGGTTTGCTTTCTCTTTCTCTCTCTCTCTCTGCTTGCCATCCGACCACATCCACATATCCACATGTTTCCTTGCTTTAAACAGTTTGCAATTGGCTGCTACTGTACACTAGCTTTCCCTCTCACTAGGTTTACATCATGATCTACAGTGGTGCCTCGCTTTACTATCGCTCCGTTTAACGACGAAATTGCATTACGATTAACTTTTTGCAATCGCTTTTGCGATCGCTTTACGATGTTTACTATGGGGGAATTTCGCTTTGCGATGATCGGTTCCCTGCTTCGGGGACCGATTCTTCGCAAAACAATTATTTTTCTCCAGCTGATCGGTGGTTTCAAAATGGCCGCTGGGTAAACAAAATGGCCCCCCCCGCTGTTTTCTGGGACGGATTCCTCGCTGCACAGGTAGCGAAAATGGCTGCCCTATGGAGGATCTTTGCTGGACTGTGAGTTTCCAGCCCATCGGAACGTATTAAACAGGTTTGAATGCGTTTCTATGGGCTTTTTAATTTCGCTTTATGACGTTTTCGTTCTACAGTGATTTTGCTGGAATGAATTAACGTCGTAATGCGAGGCACCACTGTACCAGTATTGAATGGGAATGCCTGTAAGCCATACATTCCCTTCCTTTGAAACAAGAAGCTGTTTCCTCTTGTTGTTCAGTGCCTCTGATTTATGCTGAGCCATATCCAAAAGGTCCTCCCCTCAACCACCCTGCTCAGCCCTTCCAAACTCAAGCCTGTGGCTTCCTTTGGCAAGTCACTCCCTCTTGTATCTGTCCTTCCTCTTTTCCTGCTGCTTTCCACCTTTCCCAACCTGATTGTCTTTTCTAGACTAGCGAATCCTTCCTTTTCACGAGGTGCCCAAAGTAGGAGAGCCTCAGGTTCAACTCTTTGCCTCGAGAGCCAGTTCCTAATTTACTGAACATTAGCTTTCTGTTCCTCCCAGGCTTACATCAAGATCTACCAGGGAGAAGATCTGCCCCACCCAAAGTCCATGTTGCTGGTGAGCTTTGCCTGAGAGAAGACTTCGGGGCTATATGGGGTTGCCTCTCTTCCCCCCCCCACTGCCAAATCTCCTGCATGAGGAACTGCTTGTCTCCATGAAGGAGGTTTTAGAAAGGTTGTTTAAAACCACTCAAAGTTGCAGGGACCCGATTCCCCTACCTGATCACCTTAAGATCCTGTTTGCCCATCCATTCACTGAAACAAACCAAAGGCATATGGGATCCAATTCACTTTTAAGAATATTTCTATAGGAAATTAAAACAAAACAAGACTAAAGGGAGACAAAATCCACATATTTCTCTCATATATCAAAGACAGAATACAGTCCTTGCTTCTAAATTGAATTCAGAGATTGGGAAATGCCTTTTTCTTAGACTATAACACCCAGAATCCTGTGCTGTCTGTGAGAATGGGATTTGTAGCCCCAAAGCCAAATATTTCCTGTCCCTGGTGTCATTGCCAGCAGTGAGTCGTCTCCTGTGGTTTTTATTCCTGTTGCCTCTAAGCTGCCCCCGACATTCACACAGACTACTTTTAACAGATTTCAAAAGCAATGTTTTTTTTTCCTGTGGTTTTAAAACAATGGCTTCTACAAGTCCTAACTCCCTCTGCAATGACTGGAGTGTGTGTGTGTTAGAAACCTGTGCTGACTCAGGCTATGATGATGATGATTCGTTTTATTTATATGCTGCATTTCTCCGAACAAGGGACTCAAAGCAGCTCACAACATGAAATTCACACAATTTAGAAACACAAGTTAAATATTAAGAGGTAACTTAAACAATATATGATTTTAAATACAATTAAAAGATTAAAACATGAAAAGATTAAAAAAAGATTTAAATTATCTGCTAAAATGGGGTTCACCCACATCTCTGACGACATGGGCTGTGGGCTACAAAGGCTTATGCCAGATGAAATCTGCTAGTCCTTAAGGCGATGCAAGGATATTTCTGGGTTCTGGTGCAACAGGGGGAATCCAATTTATGATATGCCTGCTAAGGGAACATTGGTTTGAAGGAAGTGGGAAATTCACCACCAGAAGGAGGTGGATATGGAAGGTGAAGTTCAGTGTGTGTCTAATTCCGTTGTGGGTACGTGTGGTTCCCTTTCTTTCTCAGGCCACGGCTGAAGCTAACAACCTGGCGGCCGTTGCATCAGCGAAGGACATGTATTACACCAACATGGAGAAGGTGAGAGAGAAGAGGAGGAGGAGGAGGGGGGCAAAACGTCCTTTGGGGTGTGAGTGTGGGCCTGGGTGCCTGTGCATGTGTATGAAAGATGCTCAGCTGGTACAGGGCAACCTCCTACAAGTTATTGCCAGGAGTGGGTTTTTCAGACCATTTTTGGGATTGCAGACAGCAGTGAAGTGGGCAAGCCTTTGACTCCAAGTCCCAAGTCAGAGTCTTTGATATCAAGTCCCAAGTCCCTATTAAAAACAAGCTTTTTCCCTCCCCAAGAAAAAAGGGAGGGAGGGGTGGGTGAGTTCCAAGTCAGGAGTTGAGTCCGAGTCATTGGGGGGTGGGGACCCTAAGCTGAGAGTCCTAGTCAAGTCCCTGGGAGACTTAAGTCTGACTTGACAGCTTGAGTCCCACTCCCCGGTGGACCGTGTCAGATAACGTGTCCTGTTCCACTCCTGCTTTATAGCTCTGCGGTGGGGACAAGCCGTACGTCGCGCCGGAGCTCCTGGACGAGAAGCACCGCGTGCAGAGCGCCCTGGCGGTCCAGCACTTCCAGCGCATCAAGAAAATGGGCGGCAAGGAGTTCAGCCAGCGCTACGAGGAGGAGCTGGTCAAGGAGATGAACGAGCTGTACCAGGACCTGACGAAGCACAACCACAGCAAGAATATCTTCAACACCTTCCGGACGCCTGGCATCATCTTCAGCCTCATCGTCTCGCTCTACCTGGGCTCCGGCTTCACGGATTACATCGGCCTGGGCTTCGCCGCCCAGCTCTGCAACCTCTTGGTGGGGCTGCTGCTGCTGGCCCTCCTGGCCTGGGGCTACATCCGCTACTCGGGGCAGTACCGGGAGCTGGGCGTTGTCATCGACACCACGGCAGAGTTCCTGCTGGAACGGGTGAGTGGGCCAGACGGAGGCTGGAAGAAGCTTAGAAGACGCTTTGATACTTTATTTTGCCTTGTTGCAAGTGGCCTTTCTGGCCTGTTTTCTGTTTCATGAAATCTGACAGAGTTACAGTATACCAGGTGTGCCAGGTGACACTAACAAGTAGAGTTTTCCAGACTTATGAAGTTGCCAGGCAAGGAAACAGTATTGATAGCAGAAATAATTGTATTGAATCAAGTTATTTGCAGAATATATATACATACACATACAGCTTTGTCCTTATTTCCAGTCCAGTGGTCTAACACGGCAATTCCAATAGAGTTCAGGCATAAATCAGATCAGAGTCCTTGTAAATCAAATTCAGTAATCAGAGTCCATATAATTCAGTCCAGCAGTCAGAGTCCTTCTCCAAGATTCTTCTACGAAGATATAGCACTTTTCAACACTACACCACAGAGTATGTGTGCTGGGTCTGCTTGCTTTATCCCAGGGTTAGCCAATCCTAGGTTTTCTTTCTCAGCTAATACAAATCATATATTACCCCAGGTGCATAAATTCTTACTTGGCTTACAATTCTTAGCGTGGATCCTTACAATTACTTACAGTGTTTTTTTCGCTCTTTCACAATGGCTTAGCACAAAACTGTATTAATTCTTTCAGGTTTATGTCAAACCTGTCAAAATCGAATTGCTTAATGCTCATTTCATGGCCCACTGGAGACTTTTCTCAGTCCAGGTGCTGCTTAAGCACAGTGGCTGGCATCCATGCAGAAGTCTTTGAGAGACAAAGTTTCTTGCTTCCTGTGGGGTTTCCTTTGGTTTCCTGATCAGGTGGCTGAGATTCACCCAGCCGCTGTGCAGAGGACTTCCTCTTCTCCCTCGACACCAGGTGGCAGCCATTTCACCAGGCTGCAGCCCACGGAGAAATGGACCACGGGGCCCGTCCCGTCGGGCTCTTCTTCCTCTGCCTGAGTGCTTTCCACTGAACCTCAGGGCCCTGAGGCCAGGTGTGGGCATTCAAGGTTTCCCCTCTCCTTCCCGGTGACATTGTCAAATGGTGGTTCCCAGCTTTGTACCTTCTGAAATGTTGTGACCCGTTAGAGCTTAGGGTTTTTGTGTTCCTTTGTTTTAGCTTTTGCTCCCTCCCTGTCTGACTAAAATGATCCATACAATAAGACTACAGGGTCCGCGGGGGATCAGTTTCAACACACACCCCCCCCCTGATGCCAGAAATAGCGGATAAAAGAAGCACTTACTCCCAGTTTCTTTGGTATCCGTGCATGGCTGAGAGAAGACACCCTGGCCCGGTCTTGCCAAAGGACTGGGTTTCGTGCCATCCAGTTCACAAGGGAGACTTTTCTGAAACCAGCCACTGCCACCTCCCCCCGTCCCCCCCAATGCTGCTTCTCTATTTCACTGGACCAGACCTGGGCAAAGTGCGGCCCGAGGGCCACATACAGCCCGCAAGCCGCTCCTCTCCGGCCCGCAGACAGTTTTGACCATCAAAACCATTTATAGCTTTTCGTCTAAACTTGATCAGTTGCTTATCTTTAACATACCACAAAAACACTCTTTAGTATTTGTGAAGATTAACAAGTTTAAAATACAAACAATCATAACATCACTGTTTCATTTTATTTTTAAGTAAGGTTGGTTCTGCCCCCAAACACAGTTCAGATTTTTCATGTGCCCCCCCCATAGAAATTAATTGCCCACCCCTGCACTGGATGCTGCTTCCTCGGAGAAGTGTAATGCTATTAAGCATAGTTTCTGGTTCCATGTATTGGCCAGCCCTGGTAATGCACCTTGGGGATGTTTATTTCTGGGTTTTATTTTATTTTATCCAGGCAGTGGATAAGTGAAACCATGGGTACTGATCCCGTGGATACGGCAGTCCCACTGTTCTTAACTTATGTTTTAGGACTTAAAAGTTCTGCCATACTTCAGATATGTACCAAAGTGACAGAGGGACACATCTGTGTCCCTCGGCAGGACTTGGGTTCATGTGACGGAAAGACATCGCTCACCATGATGTCTGATGATGACAAGCGGTGGATCATTGAACTGACCCAAGACTCCCCCCCCCCCTCTTCTCTTTCTAGGCCCCCCAACAAGCAGCTCTACCCAGATAGCACAAGCCAGCAGGTCGTCATCCCGGCGGCCTTCGGAGGACAGGAAGAATAAGTGAGGTCTCCATCTGAGTTCTCCAAACGCGTCTGGAGCGAACGTCTTGCTGCGGGATGGGAAGGCAGGAGACGCTTGGTGGGCTTCCAGACGGCGCCTCTGAGCTTTCGGCTCTTGACATCCCTTCCCCTTCTGGCAAATCTCTCTTTTTAATTTTTTTTTCTAAAGACACCCCTCTTTCCTGGTTTTTATTTTTCTTCCTTCACTTTTTTTGCACTTTAAGAAAAAAAAAAGCAGCTTTAAAGTTTTTTCCTGTACCAGCAAAGTGCCTTCCTTGACCGAGAGAGAAAGAGAATACCAAACACCACGTCCTGATGGTACCCCTTCGGCTCTTACCCACCTCTGGATGCTTGTCAGCGATGATGCCAAGGGAGAGGAGTCCCCGGATGATCCCGTCTTTCACGGCTGCCCTCTTGCCAGCTGGGCTTCGCCCGATGTGGAGGATCGCAAAAACATGGCACGCTCCAGATGTGACGGGAAGTGATGTAGCTTTAGAACTCCTCTTTGTTCCTTTGTAAACGCGGTTGTGCCTTCGTGCCCGCTGGACATCACCCTTGTGCCTCAGGCTATAGCCGGAGAGGGAGCCGAGCTTCGCCAGCCACTTGCCTTAGAAACCAAGTCCAGTCGGAGACCAACCACGAAGAAACTCAACCCACCAAATGGACCACCCCTTCTTCTTCGGGGCCGTCGCCTGCATTCCTTGGATTGCGCCTATTTCCTGTCTTACTTTGGCTTTCTTTCTGCAGTTCTCAAGCGCACGTAGCTGCTGGGTGCTTGGGAACATCCTGCCAGCCCTCCGGAGCCTCTGGTTAAATCCCACACCATTCATGCTGAGCATCAGAGCATAGGAAGCATGACTTCTCGGGAATACAGCTCCCGGTGCTGATGGGGATTTTTCTGGGAATTGTCATCTCAAAGAAGCAGTTCTTCCATGCTGTGCCGAGCACCACGGGTTTTCCTTGTTTCCATGGGAAGAAATAGGTGGGTCGAAAGGCTCACACCTTGTTCTCAGATGGCACAAATCTCAGAGGGTGCTTTAAGCCACGGTTTGCGAACCTGTGGCTTTCTGAATGCTGCAGCTACCACTACCCCTCGCCTTTGGCTAAGCCCGATGAGTATTGCAGAATATCCGGAGGGCTGATGCTTTCCCCAGCTCAGCTTTAAATAGTGATCCAGAAACCTGGGGATGTGCCTAGAATTCAGTGGTCCCCAACCTTGGGTCTCTAGATGATCTTGGACTTCAACTCCCAGAAGCCTTCACCCAATAGCTATGCTGGCCAGGATTTCTGGGAGTTGTGGTCTAAGAACCTTTGGAGCCCCAAGGAGCTATTGGCCTAGCTCAATGGTAGGGAAGTTTGTTGGTCTTGTAGGCTGGATTGCCTTCACGTCAAAAAGGGGAAGGCTAGATAACATCATTGGTGGGGGAAAACCTTACCTGACATCTTCTGCCTTCACCCTCGCAACATCCTTTGTTTCTGCCTGCAGTGGGAGACACAAAGGGTGGCTCCTGTATCTCTGATTTCAGATCCGAAAGGAGAGGGGGCCTTCCATTCCTCCCCGCTCATGCGCCCAAAGAGGTGTAGAAATAGTGTTTTTATCTCTGATCGAAGATTGGCGATAACAAGGGCATGCTCCTGATGGAGAGAACTTAAGCTTTAGATCAAGGTTGGAGAATTCGTAAGCCGTTGAGCAAAACACTCATCCCCCCCAGCCGTGTTCAGTGGCTTTCTAGTTGTGGTTGTATCCCCCCCTTCCCCCCCATCTGGCACACACAAAAAATGTGTGGGTGGTGGATGATGATGCTCAGAAGGCCCAATATCCAGCCAGTGGGAAGGGTTTCTGACTCGCAGAACCTCGCCCACGATTGGTCTTTCATTTGGGTGACGCACCTTAGCCTGTTGACAGCTGAAAATGGGCCTCAAGAGATCTAGGGTCCGTTCTCCCTGAATGGGAGAATCGTCAGGGAAGGCCAGATTTTGGTTTCGTACGGAATGGGAGAAAATAGACAAAATTGCATGCACTGTTGAAAACTGCCCATTTTTTGCTGGCCTTCTAACTGCACCTTGATTCTACATTGAACCAAAACAACGTCAACACGACCCACGAGAACTAGGAAAAAATGTTCTTGTCGCCATTTGTGTTTTTGGTAGCTGCAAGGAAACGTACTTGGTTCTGGTGGGCTCATCCTTACTCCCATATATATATAACAAAAGCAGCTATTTTTTCTGTCCAGCCTCTCCTCATCGCCGGTATTTCTCTGGGTCATTTAATAGCTTTCTATTGTCAGTGTGCTTTCTCGGTCTTCTCTTTGATGTCCTGTTCACCTCTTGCAGCTGAAAAATTGCCTTTTGCTTCTGAGATATAAGCACAAGAGAAAACGCAGCCTGGCTTTCTGGATCGAATTGAATGGGAAGGGGGGGTAGAGAGAGAAAAGGGGATCAGGGCGGTTTAAAAAGAAACATTCCTTTTCCTCCAGTTATGGAGGTGTCTGTCCTCTTGGCTTTTCACTTCCATCGCACCGTATTTGTCTTGTCACGCTAAAGGATTTTCACATTTGCACAGATGTCCAGCCGGCGTGCCTACAGATGCTTGTTGTGTGCTTTTTGAAGGTCAAAAGCCAGCCGCATAACCTTGTAAAGTGCATTTTGGATCACATTCCGCTAGTTTTTGCCACATGTTCTAGACGATGTTTTTTCTTGATCTGTACTTGTTTTTCCCCACAGCGTCCCTGAAAGTACTGATGTAGAATTCCAGTTGCCTTCCTCACTGAGGGATGGCGGCCGTTGTAGTCTTTAACACACAAGGGTGCCTTGTGCAGGTGGGAGCAGACATCACTTTAGTGCACCTCTCTGGCCTCTATTTGTGCATTTCCAATGTTATATTCAACGCTGACGGTGGAGTTTTCCTGCCACCACCTCTCCTTCATTCAGGTTAGGCTGTGTTTATGGTTCTCTCTCTTGCACAGAGCGCACACATGCGCACAGAGGAGCAAGAGCACATATTTTCTCCTCTGACACATAGCAAGGCAGCGCCTGTTTGTTTGGGCACTCCTGCATACTTCAAATTCAGTTTAAAACTTGAATACATTTGAGAAAGGAAGATGCTGTCATGGGGGCCTGTTTGACAGGCAGGTTCTCCAAAGAGGGGACGGGACTGTGAAGTTCAAGTTGAGAACCAATCATTCCTGTGAGCCCAAGAAAGGATTTTCTCGACAACTGTGAGTGGGTAGAAGAAACGGGACCCCCCAGGGCATGCTTGTATCGCCACGCTGTGCTGGAATGCCGTTTTTTTGCTCTGGAGAGAGACACCCCCCTCCCGCCCTTGCCGCTCTGTCTAAAGGACCTTTTCCACAATAGTTATATGTTTAAAACGTTTCGCCGAGGACCAACGCTGTGGGGAGGTAGATGCCAAACGGTAATTATAAAGCGCAGAAGAGCAAAAAATATATTAAAAATTGCATTTCCACTTTGCAGCTATAAAAATAAAGACCAAGTTACTAAAAACTCAGCCTTTGGAAATGTGTGCTTTATTTTCCCTGGGGATGCTTCCAGAGAAGACCTTCGTGCTATGACCTTGCTGTATTTAGGGAATTTTACAATAGGCTACTTAGTGTTTTGGGAGGGATGTGGTGCCGCTGCGGGCTAAACCGCAGAAGCCTGTGCTGCAGGGTCAGAAGACCAGCTGTCGTAAGATCGAATCCACGCGACGGAGTGAGCTCCCATCGCTTTGTCCCAGCTCCTCACCAACCTAGCAGTTCGAAAGCATGCAAATGTGAGTAGATAAATAGGTACCACCTCAGTGGGAAGGTAAAACGGCACTCCCTAGTCACGCTGGCCACGTGACAATGGAAACTGTCTTCCGACAAGCGCTGGCTCTACGGCTTGAAAAACGGGATGAGCACCACCCTCTAAAGTCTATAAAAGTAACTATAAAAGTAATTTAAAGATTACAGTTATGCCGCGAAAGAGCCAATGTCTTTATATATTTCTAGTTTGAAAAAGAAATGAATTATTTGTAACACACTACAGTGCTCTGAAGCTCAACCGAAAAGTTTAATTTCAATTTTATAGGGTTATTATATGGGTGCGTTTTTGCTGGTGGAGCATCTTTGAGGAGGTGGCATCCACAGAACAGCACCTTCTCTGGTGAAAATCGGACACCCATTACTTGGGTACAGCAACTCTTTTCAAGACAGAAAATACTCGGGAGTGGTTTTACCCTTCCCTTCCTCTAGGGGCGCTGTGGGACTGTGCAGCTTGCCCAGGGCCACCCAGGCTGGCTCTTCTCTCTAGAGGCATGGTACGGAAATCGAACCCCCAACCTCTGGCTGAGCAGCCACATACATAAACCACTGAGCTATCCAGCCAGCTTCTTATCTTACAGTCTCACCTTTTCTTCTTCAAAAAGGGTGAGATTTTTCTTTACCTCCTGAATGTGGTGCTCAGCAGACTTACTTCACCCAGTCCAAGTCATCAACTGGATTCAGACCCACTAAATCCATGCAGTCCAGCAACACAAGAAGCAGAGTTGGAGGAAGTTAATATGACTTCCAGAATATCTCACTCAGCCAAACCACTGGCCACAACGGCTGGGGCATTCTGTAGTCTAAAGAGCTAACATTAGACATCTCCACAAATACTTCTACAATTCACTGCGTATCCTTTTAATCAGCGATCATGACGCAGGGGACCTTGGGCTTGCAGAGTGAGAAATACTGGGGCTTTTGATAAGGCCATCATGTGCAACCCCACCTCCTTGGCTTCTGTATTCCCTCCGAACTTAACAGCAAAACTTCCAGTAGCTGGAAGAGAGAGAGAAAATTGATTTTCTTTTTAAGTACAGTGGTGCCTCGCTTAACGATTTTAATTTATTCCAAAAAATTTGTCGCTAAGTGAAAACATCGCTAAGCGAAACACGGTTTCCCATTGAAATGCATTGAAAACCGGATAACCCATTCCAATAGGAACGAATTGCCATCCTTAAGCGAAATTCGCCATAGGAAACATCGCTAAGCGAAACGCGGTCCCCCAATTGAAATGCATTGAAACCTATTCAATGCATCTCAATGGGGGAAAAAATCATCAACAAATTAAAAAAGAGTCAGAACAAAGTCAAATTTGGTTAACAAAGGGTTTATTAAGTGCACTTTATGATTTCAAACATTTTAAACAGCAAAAATTAACTTTATAACATTTAGAAAACAGCAAAAATGAGGCTGTTTAAACCATTGTTAAGCGAAACGGGACCCAAAAATTTAATCGTTATGCATAGCATGGTCCCAACATCGCTAAGCGAAAATCACCCATAGGGACCATTGTTAAACAGAGCAGAAAAACGCTCCGAAAAAGTCGTCGCTAAGCAAATTCGTTGTTAAATGAAGCACTTGTTAAGTGAGGCACCACTGTATATATATTGCTTTTACCTGTTTCAGTGTGAATCTTTGGGAGCGCTTCTGGTCTTGAACAGGCAGTTAAGACCCCGTTGCTCTATAAAAGACCTGCCCCTGGTTAACTAGTAAATTACTGGAAGGGAGGGTGATACAGATCATGATGGCATCCTGCGTTTCTGAACTGATGGATTGCTACGAGAGGCCGGCTGTCTGCATGTTAAAATGTAGTGTTGAACCACCAGGTATGCCAGATCGGCTTATTTGTTTACCTGGATAACAAAGCCGAAGAGGAGACAATCTATATTTAAATGCTCCTGCAAAAGAATCTTTTTGAGGAAAGTCACAGCCTCATAGTTGACAAGATAAAATGCCCACCCAAATCTCTGGGTTGCAGCTGCATATGAGGCTTCCTGGGAATTTCCGGAGCGTGTAGTCTAGAAAGCGCAACGCCGCACATCGGCCCTCCCTCCTGAGCCACCCATGCTCCATGAAAAACAGACCTCCAAAAGTTGGACAGGATGCAAGGCCTGAAAAATGGAATCGGAAACAAACTTCTAGCAACTTTTTTTTAAGTGCAAAGAGTTAAGCCTAACAACAAATGATGGACATTAGCAACATGTGGACAGATCTTTCCCCAGCAGGCGGCAGCAACCTTAGGCTTTAGAAGCCGGCAGTGTTTTTCCTCTTCTAGATGACATAAGAGAGAACCAGAAAAGGAGGAGCTGGGAATGACCTGGCAGCTTCCGATTTACCAGCTGCCGGCTTGCACTGCCTGCTTTGCCCCCCTTATATTCTCGATTTGCTCCAACGGGGATCCAGAAGGCACTTGGGCCTGCCAAAGGTTTGTTTACTTCTCTGTCTTTATGGAGGCCTCTCGGATCTTTCTGAGCGAAGGCGCTGCTCCAGCTGACTCTGGATTGTCAGCTCTGGCAGTTGCTTGGTAGACGGTGTCTTTCTGCGTGTCTATTATACAGGGCATTGAACCCACACTCTTTTTTTGCCCCAAAAGGCAACTGGGACCGGTCTTTTCACTTGAAGAGAGAAACCACAGAATATAATTCTTTCTTCTCCCTGCTGTATTATAGAGGTTTTTCTTTGTTTATTTTGATGTTAAAGGGAAGATGTTGTAGATTCGGCTTCTTTGCTTTCCAAAAGGCCCAGTCTTTGTCCTCTGGCCATTAATCTGCGTTTTAATTTAGTGCTCAAATGAGCGGCACCAGGAAAGCGTGTGTGTACACACACACACACACACACACACACACACATACACACACACACACACACACACACACACAGAGAGAGAGAGAGAGATTTGCAAGCACACACACACACAGATATTTGCAAACACACACACACACACAAAGATTTGGAAGGAGGCACAGAAAGGCAATATGTGTTTTGTGACAAATGTTAATGTTTTTTGAAAGAGGTTTGCATTTTATACAGTGGTGCATAAACGGAACAGATTGATGCATGTGGCTATTTAGTTATGCTTTATTTATTAATTTAAATCTGTACTGTATTTAAATCTACAAGGTGGCATTCAGGATTCTCATCATTCCCCATTTTATCCTCACATAACCCTGAGAGTTATAATAGGCTGAGGAAAATAGTGAGTGTTTCGGGTTTTCCCAGTGAGTTTCATGGCTGAGGGGAGACGTGATTCTGTCTTGCTGAACTCACAAAATTACTGATTTACACTCTAGTGACTACATATGAAAGCTATCCCAGCAAATATATACATTATTACATTAATGTATACAAAAATTACATTATTGTTTTTACTGTAAGCCGCTTAGAGTGGTCTAATATGATCAGATAGGCGGGATAGAAATAAAATAAATAAATAAATAAATAAATAACAAATATACAAACACACATACACACAATCAATCGTATTTAGCATGTTGAGGACTACAACCTTGATTTTATTTTCATTTTATGAATCCAGCTTGTGATCTGTATGGACGGGTTTTGTTTGTTGTATGGGTTTTCAAAATGCTGTTGTGATTCGCCTTCGGAGAAAAGGGGCTGAGAGTTAAAAATCAATAAAATATTTTAAATCAGGAATGGGAAATGTGGGGACATGCAAATGTTACTAGATTCAGTTTCCCAGCCAGTCCTGATGGATTGTGGATACTGTAGTTCAGCCATATATGAGAGAGCTGCTTAATCTCTTTATCATGATATTAAGTGGGTAAATTAAAATCCAGAAATTGTTAAAAAGTTACCCTTATGGAATACAGACCCCAGCTGAACTCACTACTGATTTACACTCTAGTGACTACATATGAAAGCTATCCCAGCAAATATATACAAACACACATACACACAATCAATCGTATTTAGCATGTTGAGGACTACAACCTTGATTTTATTTTCATTTTATGAATCCAGCTTGTGATCTGTATGGACGGGTTTTGTTTGTTGTATGGGTTTTCAAAATGCTGTTGTGATTCGCCTTTGGAGAAAAGGGGCCGAGAGTTAAAATCTACGAAATATTTTAAATCAGGAGTGGGAAATGTGGGGACATCCAAATGCTACTAGATTCAGTTTCCCAGCCAGTCCTGATGGATTGTGGATACTGTAGTTCAGCTATATATGAGAGAGCTGCTTAATCTATCATGATATTAAGTGGGTAAATTAAAATCCAGAAATTGTTAAAAAGTTACCCTTATGGAATACAGACCCCAGAATCCCTTTGTGATCATGGCTGTTCCGCCTGTAGTATTCTGGAAATTATAACCCCCCCAAAATAACTTTTACAGGCTCAATTGACTGTGGGCATAATATTTATTTATTTATTTAATGATTGATTGATTGATTGATTGATTGATTGATTGATTGATTGATTGATTGATTGATTGATTGATTTATTTATTTATTTATTTATTTATTTATTT